CGGTATCTTTTTAACAGCAGACCTAATTGTAGATGAATATTACATAGGAAAAGCAAGACTTACTGTAATAAATAATAATAAACTAATAAACAAAAGAAAAATTTCAAGGTTAAAACCAATAGTCTGTCTTCACATTATGCCTCCTGGCATTAAAATTTCGTTTTAATACAATTGTAGGAGCTGAGGCTGAATTGTCAGCCTTAATAAAAGAATTTGAAGTTATCGCTTTTTTACTGTAATCTTAACATAATTTAAGCTTAGGTTTTCTTTACATATTTGCCCACAGCCAGCCCACCCATGTAAATGTTTTCTGCTGTTTTTGAGTGAAGAGGTTTGTATGAAAAATACATATAAATAAGGCAGAAATCACCCCTCTGGCAGATTCTCTGCTTAACTCCAGTTTTCAGGCAGGTTTGGGGAGGCGATCAGAGCAGCAGACTTGCCTCTCAATTCATCAGTAACGTAAACTGTATTTTCACTGGCAGAAATCAATTTGATTTTCATAAAGGCAGAAAGGAATTATGTTCCTGGTGGATGAAGCACAAAACACAGTAACTGGGAGATTCAAATGCTGTATGCAATTCTCTCACAGCACAGGACCACAGGGTCAAGTTGCCACAAACTGCAGACCATTACCTCCTCTCTTCCCTTTGTGCCCTATACCATCCTTTGGGCTGGAATGTTTGCTGCAGCTGTATGTTTTCATGAGGTGGGCAGTGAAATCAAGTAAAGATGGATTTGCAGCTTTTCATTTGGCCTGGCATCTTGAAAGCCTTAGTGCATCCTCCTGATCAGAGAAGTCCTTAATATAGGAGAGATGTCTGATTTTACGCAGACAATTCAATAAAAAATAAGAAATAAAATGTTAAAAAAGATAATGAGATAAAATTAAATACGCATTCTTTGGGGGTTTTGGAGGGAAGGAAAACTTCTTGTTCCTATTCATGGCAAATGGTTTCCTAAACAAAATTATTTGGTTTTCGGTTCCAGTAACTGAAGGCTTCCCATAGCACAAGGGGAAGGCAGCTGGCTGTGAGAGGGACTGTAGGAAAATGACTCTGTTCTGGCTGCTGAATTAGATGCTTCCAGATGGAAGTGAGCAGCTCTGCCAGCATTTAGCCAGAAATGCTCCCCCTGGCCTGGTGACTAAATAATCAGGTGCAGGCAGGGGTGGAGGCAGCTGCCCCTTGAATTCCCAGGGAGTTTTAACCTGTGCTTCAGGGACAAGAGATCAAAACTCAAATCCAACTTTTGGTGTTGAGGCAGGAATTGGCAGAGGCCGCTCTTACTCAAGTAACTCGCCTCACTGAAGGGCTGAAGACCGCTCCTCTGTGAAGGGTCTCCCCTCTGGAAAGGCTCCAGCCTGGACAGAGTATTTTAATCTTTTAGAGAGGCAGAGTAATTCTCACAAGATACGAGGCATGCATAGGCCCTTATGCTTTTTCTCTAGCTTACTCGCTAGAGAATAGATTTTCTGTTGAAGCAATGTTTTAGAAACCCAGCATTCATCCTGAATTGGGCAAGTTTGGAAGTTGGTTTGAAGTCAACTCTCACTTAAGTGACCACAGAGGTCTGTTTTGGCTGAAAAATGCGTTATGTTAATTAGCAAAATGCTTTGTCTAAGGAAGTGAATGTATGAAAGCCTTTTAATAAAACTGTTTTGCATACTGCAAGCCTTTAAATTAAATTGGGTCAGAGTTACAGCCAACACTGAGCATAATTGTTTGTGACTTTTTGGCTTGTTTGCTTAAAAAAAATCTGGCTGGTTTCTTGAAAGATAGCTGGTGGCTCTTTATGGCACCCTGTTGCACAGTTTTAAGGATAAAATTAAAAAACATGTTCAAAACATAAATGTACGGTTTATGTCTTATAACTCCCATAAAACTTAGTCTTGCTGAGATACTCACAGTAGCATAGTTTGGACTTGGCTCAATCTGTCATGGCTTTATGCTCTCAATGCTCCTCTCTCTGGACTGAAATTCAGACTTCAGAATAAATGAAGTAAAAATATCACTAAATAAATCGTATTTCTAAATTGGTTATCCATTTCCCCCTCTTTTTTTTTTGAGTGCACCCTCAGCAAGTTTGCAGATGACACCAAGCTGTGTGGTGGTGTGGACACGCTGGAGGGAAGGGATGGGAGGGACATCAGAGGGACCTCGACAGGCTTGAGAGGTGGGCCTGTGAGAACCTAATGAAGTTCAACAAGGCCAAGTGCAAGGTCCTGCACATGAGTTGGGGCAATCCCAAGCATAAGTACAAGCATAAGTACAAGCTGGGCAGTACAATGGATTGAGAGCAGCCCTGAGGAAAAGGACTTGGGAGTGCTGGTTGATGAGAAGCTCAACATGAGTCGGCAATGTACGCTGGCAGCCCAGAAAGCCAACCGTATTCTGGGCCGCATCAAAAGAAGGGTGGCCAGCAGGTCGAGGGAGATGATTCTGCCCCTCTACTCTGCTCTCGTGAGACCCCACCTGGAATAATGCATTCAGCTCTGGAGTCACAAGAAGGACACGGAGCTGCTGGAGCGAGTCCAGAGGAGGACTACAAAGATGATTCGAGGACTGGAGCACCTCTGCTATGAAGACAGGCTGAGAGAGTTGGGGCTCTTCAGCCGGGAGAAGAGAAGGCTCCGGGGTGATCTTATAGCAGCCTTCCAGTATTTAAAGGCCTACAGGAAAGCTGGAGAGGGACTTTTTACAAGGGTGTGTAGTGATAGGACAAGGGGCAATGGCTTTAAATAGAAAGAGGGCAGATTTTGGTTAGATATAAGAAAGAAATTTTTCACTCTGAGGGTGGTGAGGTACTGGAACAGGTTGCCCAGAGAAGTTGTAGATGCCCCATCCCTGGAAGTGTTCAAGGCCAGGTTGGATGAGGCTTTGGGCAACCTGGTGTAGTGGAGGGTTTCCCTGCCCATGGCAGAGGAGTTGGAACTAGATGATCTTTAAGGTCCCTTCCAACCCAAACCATTCTATGATTCTATGACTTTAACTGAATATGGTGCTGATGGTGTTTTTACCAAAGAGAAATCCTGTATCCGATAAAGTAGGGTGTCATTTGAGATTTATGAAAAGCTTATGAATATTGTAACACCCATCAATCATTTACCCTTTCTTGGTCTTTACATTTTCTGTAAGTGAGTTAGGAGTTTTAAAGATATTAAACATAAACCTATATGGTATACCTCTGAAAGTATTTCAAGAAGTTGTCAGGGAATGCTGTGACCTTGAAAGATAAGACTCTGTAAATAGCTAGGAAAAGGAAGGAAAGATTTTCCTTACTTTCAATTGCAGTACAATAAATTCAGGATTTTATTAATATTGCCTAGATCACCCACTGCCTTTCAGAGTCCTTCCCCTGCCTCCTCAAATGGATTTGTTACTATGAGCATTTAACAGTGGTCTCAAGCTGGAAGAGGACATTAGCTGGGAATTTTCTAGTTTGCATTAAGGTTGCAAGGAAAAAAGCACAGAAGACAAGGTTCGTAAGAGTAATGGAAATAAAATGACAGAGAAAAGGAAAAATTCATAGGAGCTGCCCAGCAGCACAACCAGAATTAATTTTCCATTTCCTTGTCATAATTTTTAAATACACTTTTGAATCACAGTAATTACACATGCAGAAATTCTCACTAGTCCTAGTATTTCCTTCAATTCCATCTCTCCAGAGGGGAAAAATAGTGATATTAACTTTGAGATGTAATTCCTTCTTTTGATTGTTGAATGAAACATTTAAAATAACAGGAATAAAAAATGAACTATCATATTCAAGTTTCCTCAGAAATAAATACAGAAGTCTCAGATCTCAACAGAGGTGTGGTGTTTTGTTTTTGTTCTGTTGTTTTTTGTTTTTTTTTTAAGGGGGAAAAGACACTAGAGTAAGAATTAATTTCAACAGATATGAAAAAAGGAGAGGAAGAGAAGACCCAATATAGTGAGTTAAATAACTTTGTAAGGATGTAACTTTATTCAGTATCTTCTTCAATTTAAAAAAAAAAAACAACAAACAAAAACCAAAGTTGGAAAACTATGTTCCTATAGATTAATATCAAGTAGCACATTGGTGAAATAGAAAAATGTAAATGGAAAAAAAAGTAAATAATAGATCTTTCATCTAATTATTACATAAAGGACGTGTGTGCTAAAGACATGCAAGTGTAAAGTTTATGCCTGCATTTTCCTAAAAATATACATTTACTTGCAGTGTGCACACATTCACATATCAAACCACTGTATATTGTGTGTCGGCTGTTGCATTTTAGGAACATTTCGGAGAGTTTTAATAATTTTTATTAAGAGTATTTTTTTGCCTTTCTGTGACTCTGAGAGAGTTAACTGAGTCTGACACAGCTTAATGAGAAAATAATTGTTGAAATATACATGTTTAAACATGCTACACTGGAAACACAGCTGACCTTGCCCCAAAATCACATTTCTGAGCCTGAAACAAACTAGGTATGGCTGGCTCCTATGGGTTACAAGTGAGTACTGAAGCCTACCATGAAGCTGGAACTCCCATTTCCCCATGGTATAAAACTTTCTGGACTGACAAGCAAACAATTTCTGATTAAAAAACTAACTGATAGGAGTACCTCCTTATTTACATGAGAATAAGTACAAATAATTCCCGCTAAGTACAGAGCAGATTTCGTTGACCTGCTGTTTTACTACTCATACTACTTTGTGATTTCTATTCTGTAATACCTAATGCTAACTGTATGATGGTTTTAGAAACATATCTATAGATACATGTTTGCATGACACAGTGATATGAGGACATCATCTGTGTAGGACATCATGTTTGGGTCACGATGAAAGGCACTTTGATATGTTTGCCATGCACTTTGAGCATGGAGAAAAAAACAAATTAAACCACAGTAATACTAAACTGCAAAAAGGTGAAGCACTGAAAACCCAAGAGTAATAAATTACCTTGAGAAACTCAGTAAGCAATAAATGTTTTGCAATATAAACATTAAGTAGTATAATCTATGATCCTACCGTTCCTGTTGTGCCCAAGGAAAGGTGGTTCATCTGTTGGGTCAGAGGGCCCATCATGCTTGCTGGCTGCATTGACATAGTGTGGTCCATTGTTGGTGTTATCACAGCACCCTACAAACACACATCATTTACACTTCAACATTTCACATTTGAAAAAAAGCAGCATTCTCTAAATGAGTGAACCTGGCTGAAAACTTGACATGAATCTTGAAAGAGACTAATATATCTGTCAGGGGAAATATGTTTTGTTCCTATTGACGACCAAGCTACACATATATATTATTTGTACTACTAATGAGGCCATTTTATGTCAGTGCCAATTAACTGTCATTTTTTACTTCATTGCTTCTGACAAACAAATGCATATGTTCTTTCCATGATGAATGCTACTGTACATTGCAAAAAGCCTGTCATTTCTATTTCTCCATATCCTATATAGAACAATCTTACAGACAGAACACATATGTCCCCAATTTTCTCTGACTTTTAAAACCTTCAGTCTCTGAGATCTTCAACCCATTATGGTAATTATCTTGGATTTTTCGAGTCTCAATTAAGAACCCTTACTCATGACGTTTTATAGTTGATTAAGTAAGACTAGCTATTGACAGTGAGATTGGTAGTGACACCCATTTAAAACACATACAGTGTTTAAAAGCATTTTTCTTCACTGCATGAAAACCAAAAACATTAATAACAAACAGCATACAAAATAAAGCAAGAACAAGACTTTGAACAAAAATGAAACAAAAGACATGCCAGAGGAGCTTTGGAGAAAGCTTCTTTGTCATTCATATTCCTTGGTTTTTTGCTCTCCCACTCCCCAAGGTCCCATGTTGGTAACCTCATGCCTTAGTGAAGTGTTGATTCTCTTCAGTTCTATGGTGTAAAATGCTATTTCCTGTGTTGGTTAGAGAAAGTCAGTCAGAAACAGAGTGGTCTGCTTTTTTGCTTGCATATAGTGAGACAAGGAGGTATTTCCAGCTATTTCTTCATATGAAATAATAACTCTACTTTGTTCATATGTATGTTTGTGTGCACACATTATAAATTTGCACAATCACAACATTACATCTGCTACAAAGAGTGGATAATGTGGATGAACATATTTGTTTAAAAAAAAGGAAAATGACTTTTTTTCCATCGAGATTACTGATGGAATCCACCTATTAACAGGAATTTGAAATAAACTAGTTCCAAAAACTACAGAACACCTGTTCTTAAGTGTCTGTTTCACATTTAAGTAGAGCTATGTGACTTCATTGCCGAGAATCTGATTAGAAGCAAAAGACTTCAAATTTTCAGTTGCAAATAAAAATAATCAAAAATAAAAAATGCTGGGGAAGTACCAATTCAATTTTTTCTCACCTTCCAGCAACATTTTGTCTATGCAGATCCTATCTGAGAAGCGTATATTCTGCAGTCTCTGTGAACTCATTACTTGGCAAAGAGGAGGTAGGCTCAGCTTGGTCAGTCCTTTCTGTAATACTCTCAGTATATGAAACATACACACTTGTTTTATGTCACATAGTGGATTATGTTTCTTGCACTGACAAGAGTCCCTAGAGAAATTTAGCAAATTACAGAAACTAGCCTCCACAGAATATCTGTCATGATTCCAAATAAATGCTTATAAAACGAGCTGATTAGTGTGCAAGTATCAAACCTGCAACACTTGCAAACACTTCTGCCTCTTTCTTTGCTATATTAATTTGCACTGGTTTACACGGATACATAGATTAACCCATAGATTAACTCATTCTAACGAACTACCACGGTGCTAACCTTCTCCTTTGTTGGCATGGGTCCTTACAAATCAAGATGGTCACAAACTTTCACCACAAAATTTCTTCTAGCATAGTAAGGTTAACATTTTATTCAAAAAGCCCTTCTTTCTTCTTTACATGAGATTCTTCCCTTTCATGCTGCTCCTCTTTTTTTGCAGAAAAATATCTACCCTTTTGCTGAAAGACTGTGAAAGCAAATCTGCAGGGCGTACACTCATCCAGCCCATTTGGCAGTCCCTGCATAGTAGATTCAGTGTAGGAGTCTGAAGTAGCACTGTGCCCAAGGAAAATGATGTTCTTGCTCTATGTTCAAAACCAATGGCCTGGAATATCAGGGCTGCGCCTCTAGAGGATCTTGCAGACACCCAGGGTCTTGGGGTTTGGACATCCACTTGCACTTCTTGGTTACGGTAAGGAATCACGATCTTTATGTTCAGAATGATCCATACCACAAACCAGCATTTTTACTGTACCAAACCATAAACACGTAAACCATATTTGTCAACTGATAAACAGTTCTCAGTTCCCTCTACGAGCAGTTCTCTCCTTTGGCTTAGAGATGGACAATCGCCTCAGGGCTTTCCGTGACAGACAAGGTGAGCTCCCACTTGTGAGGTGTGATGGGGTAAGCAGAAAGTCACACCGGCACCACAGCTTCACGCAGCCCCGCACTGCCGGCAGTAGCGGCTGCAATTAATTAAGGATGTCCCAAAGCCTTAAAATACCTAGCTTTCTTTGCAAAGATGTTTATTGCAAAGGCATGGTTGGAGGAACTTGCTGTGATTACAGATGTGACAGACTGATAGCTATTCCTGTGTATAAATTCAGGAACCTGGAAATGAAGAAAGGGCAGGGACGAAGGAAGTCTTATGATTTAGTGTAGCAAACAGAAGTGCCAGACACACAGCGGAAAAATCTCATAGCAAATGTCTCTCAGTAGCAAGACAGTTTTTGCTCTTAAACTATTCAGAAAAAATATGGACTGGAGAGAAAACATATCAAGGACAAAAAATTACTCACAGACAGTAAACACATTATTTTAAAATAGAAAATACATATATTCTAGTCTCTAAACACACACCGTTTAATACATTAGGAAAAGAAGTTGGGGAAACAAATCAAGTATTTGCAGCTTTCCTAAGACAGCTTAATGTGTTTGAAGCTGACGGTTACCTAGAGCAGAGAATTACATGCATTTGCCAGACCATTAATTCACCAGAGTCTGCAGAATCCTCTTGTGATCACGTAGGGAAAAAATTATACTTAATTAAGGAAATATCGTCTGGTTGTTAGGGCGACACCCAGTCTCCAGACCATTATGCATTTCATAATACATGCTGTCAAGTCCATTCATATTCAACTTCTTTAGCTGTAGAAAACAACAATGTCTTGCATCAGATGTTGCCATCATATTAAAAGTAATTTTACTCTTTTCAGCCTGTAATCGGTATTTGCTGACAAACATCCGCTTGGCGACTGGCAAAGGCTACAGCGAACGTATTTTTCATCATCTGTTTGGATGTCTGATTTTACTGGGATTGTAAACCATATAGAGAGACATCTTAGCATGGCATAATACTACTGAAGGCCCAACTGAGCTGAAAAAACCTGTAGAAGAAATTATGATGAGGTTTTTGCCACTGTCTTTGCCAAAACAAGTAGCTGGACTGCCAATTACTTAGGTCTGCCCTGTTGCTTCAGTACGATTAATGTTTTTATAATTCCTGCAAGAAACTGGTTACTATAATGCCTTTTAAATATGGCAAGATATTCTTGGCATATGATTTGTCATGCAATTCTGTCAATGCTATAGAGGCTTTAAAAGAAATGAAGATTAACAGGGAAAATGGTAAGGAATCAATGATACAGAAGAAAATGCACGATTTTTGTAACACTGTGATAAACCTAAGATAAGTTCATTGACTATATCTCTTCACTTTATTTGAAAGACCTTGCTGTTTTAAAATGATCTAAGCTTTATGGACATACCTTTACTACAAGAAAGTGAATATATTTATGTCTGAATATTTTCTAGTCTATCACTTGCAAAGAAAGAAGCCTGACCTTATTAACTACAAATACTGTATACTCTCTGTACAGAAACAAACTGAAATCACAGGAAGGACGCTAAATGCAGCTCATTTATTATATTAAGTAAACTATCTTTAAGTACTTGCCAGTACCAAAAGGCATCAGCTGAAATAAAGTTTATGTTGGCGCAATGACACATGCTACCTTTTGTGCCATGAAGGGTGAGAAAGTGACATCAGAAATAAAAAGTGTATTAGGGGGCTTTAGGAACAGAGAGTTCACTAGTTGAGGGAAGCACTTGGGAGCCAGTGGGAGGAAGGATGAGTTAGTCCCAGCTTTCTAGCATAATGAACTGTATTAAAGGCTTCTGTTTTATTCCGGCATTCTAATACTGATACTGGACTTAAGGCACAAATACCAGCTGAACAAATAGTTTTTAAAGCTTACAGTAAGCATCTGCTTATTTTACAGTTTACTTTTTCTTTATTTAGGAAGTTTGAACAAGTTAAGCAAACTTACAAAGTCTACTTTGTAAATACTGGCCAACATAAAGCCAATACACATTACAGCAGCAAACTTACTTTTCAAATTTGTTTACAGCCACATTGTGCAGTCATTTAAGCACCAGGTCATTCCATCTGAAAAGTTATTACCATACAACCAAGTGAATGTCTTTATGTTATCAAGAACATGTTGTTTCTTGAGGTTTTATTAAACTGAGTGAAAGGATGACTTTCCTTATACTTATCAGACCAGACATGTCCATCAAGAATTAATATGAAAAAACCCCAACATGCACACTTTTTTGCAGATAAATGTACTCTCTCTGCATACTGAATAAATGACGACCATATTTCTATTGGTTTACTGTTCTGTCTAGATTGACTTGTCTCATCTCCTTGGACTGCCTCTTACAGGCAGCATCAAAACCAGAGCCCCCTTGTCAGAGCAGTGAGTCTGGCGAAGTGCTCTGAACTGGCTGTTAAGTGGCCAACCTGTAATGACTACAGTAGGAAGACTGAAGGTAGCTCTGAAATCCTCTCTGCCCTGTCATCAGCTCTGCTGGCAACACTTGCTGATATTCTATAAAAATTTATTATATTTCAAAATAAAAGAAAACCTATTTTTATACTTTTTTCCCCTTTCTCAATGAAAAGTTGCCAATTGCCTTGGCATTTACTAGTTGATCAGAGATTAAATCACGATTTGAGTATGGTGAGAACAAACATCAGCTAATAATGTATATTCTGCAAATCTTAGGATTTGGTTTCATTTCATTACATTGTTGAATTT